GGAACTATACAGCATATAGCCTTTGGGTCTGACTTTTTTCACTTAGCACAATATTTTTGAGATTATCTGTGTTGTTTATACATAAGCAGTTTTTAAAATTGCTAAATATTATTTCTTTCTACATACCACAATTTTAAAACTTACTCACCAGTTAATGGGCATTTGGATTATTTATACATTTGGTTATTATGAATACAGTTTGCTGCAAATATTTGTTTGCAAGTGTTTGTGTGGATATGAGTGGGTTTTTTAGAGAGGCTAAATTTCTAGTAGTAGAAATGCTATTATATGGTGTATTAGTCTGTTTTCCCACTGCTATAAAGATACTACATGGGACTGTAATTTATGAAGAAAAGAGGTTTAATTGACTATCAGTTTTGCATGACTGGGGAAGCCTCAGGAAATTTAGAATCATGGTGAAAGGCAAAGGGGGAAGCAAGGCACATTTTATATGGCAGCAGGAGACCGAAAGCATTCAGGGGAAACTGCCAGACACTTATCAAACAACAAGATGTCATGAGAACTCCCCCACTCTCATGGGGACAGCACAGGGAAACTGCCCCCATAATCCAGTCACCTCCCACTAGGTTCTTCCCTCAACATGTAGGGATTACAATTAGAGATGAGATTTGGGTGGGGACACAGAGCCAGACCATATCCTACAGTAAGTTTTCAATTAGCTTTATTATAAAGAATTAAACTGCTTTCCAAAGTGACTATGAAATTTTACATTTTCACCAGCAATATATGAGCGTTGGAGTTGCTTCAAATCCTCTCCAACATTTAGTATTGTCAGACTTGTTAATTTTAGTAATTCAAGTAGATATATATTAGTAACTAACTGTAGTTTTAATTTGCATTTCGCTGATGCTTTGTTTATTGACACTAGTGTATCTTTACTGACATATGTGCTCAAACTATAAAAACAAAAATTGATAAAATGGATTCTAACAAAATTAAACCTTTTGCTTTTCAAAAGATACTATGAGGAAAAGTAGAAATATAAAAAGCAATTGGAAAACATATATCTGATAAAGTATTTGTATCTAGAATACATAAAGACTTCTCAATAAGAAGACAAATAACATTATAACATAGGGAGTTGTATTAGTTTATTCTCATACTGCTATAAAGATAGTACATGAGACTGGGTAATTTGTAAACAAATGAAAGAGTTTTAATTGACTCACAGTTCCGCATGGCTGGGGAGGCCTCAGGAAACTTACAACCATGGTGGAAGGGGAAACAGGTACCTTCTTCACAAGTTGGCAAGAGGGAGAAGAGTGTGTGAAGGAGGAACTGTCAAACACTTATAAAACCATCAGATCTCATGAGAATTCACTCACTATCACAAGAACAGCATGGGGGAGACTGCGCCCATGATCCAATCACCTTCCTCCCTCCACACGTGGAGATTACACATCTCACCTTCGACACATGGGGATTACAATTCCAGATGAGATTTGGGTGGGGACCTAGAGTTAAACCATTTCAGGGGACAAAGATTTGAGCACATACTTTTGTATTTTTTACTTAAAATGTATCTTATTTACAACATATAGTTTGTCCTGCATGTATATAGTTTGTCTCACCTTCTTGAAAACCCAGACTAATGATTTCTGCCTTCTGATTGGCATGTTTAGTACATTTATATTTAATATAATTAAAGATAGAATTCTATTCAGGTCTGCTATTCAACATTTGTTTTATTTTGGTTTATTTGTCTTATTCACTTTTTTATTAGTTTACCTTTGTTTTCTTCTTTTTCTGTTTTTTACGTTAATTAGGCAATTTTAATATTCTACTTTCTCTCTTAGCCCCCCTCAATATAGCTTTATTTTATTTTATTTATTTATTATGATTTTTTCAAACAGAATCTTGCTCTGTCACCCAGACTTGGGCTCGGTGGCATAATCTTGGCTCACTGCAACCTCCACCTCCCAGGCTCAAGTGTTTCTCTTGCCTCAGTATCCCGAGCAGCTTGGATTACAGGCCTGAGCCACATCTACTAGCTACTTTTTTTGTATTTTTAGTAGAGATAGGGTTTTCCCATGTTGGCCAGGCTGGTCTCAAACCCTTAGCCTCAAGTGATCTGCCTGCCTTGGACTCCCAAAGTGCTGGGATTACAGGCATAATCCACCATGCCCAGCCTCTTTGTATTTTTTAAAGAAGCTGTTCTAGACATTATGATATGTATCTGACATATATCCCAATTACTTAGAGTTGAAGTTGAATTATTTCAGGTAAATGTTAGAAAACTCACAACGGAATATTTTTTATTACCCTGGGGACAGATTCATACTTTCCTGATTTTTTCTTTTTTTTTGTACATAGTTTAATTTTGGATTAAAATCTGGATATTATAGGTAACACACTGTAGCAATTCTAGAATCATCATATTGTTCAGAAGATTGGATTTTCGTTCTATGATTGTGTTATATTGCCTAGAATCAATCTAGAAACTTTGCCCCATACTCATTTCCCATGGTAGACAGCTGTTTATCATTCTAGCCCATTCTAGTGTCTTCCTACTGTTGCTTTTAAAGCTTCTCCCCCTTTCGATTTCCTCCATGCTTGCTAAATTTGGGCAGAGATGAGGAGCTAGGCAATGATTAGCATCATTCTCTCTGTTGTTTTCATGTTTCTATGAATTTTCCTAATTTTCAGCTGTTCTGTTAGGTTTGTCTTTAAACTTGGACACTTTAGGCTTTTTACCACCCAGGTTGCACATAATTGGAAAATTCAGTTTAAGAAAGAAAGAAAAGCACGTAGCTCACAAATTTGGATCCACATTGCTCTAGCTCTAAGGAGCAGATGTCTCTCTGGTCTCTGCCTGCTTTTTCATAATGCTCCCCTCTGGTTTTCCAGCACATCAATAGTTTTGCCAAGGATTTTGGCAGTCTGTCTGAATTTGGGTATCACGGCTCCCCACACATTCATACAACTTCCTTCCTTTACTTGCTTCCTTAGTTAAGCATCATAGAATTTTATAACTGGAAAGTATCTTAGAAAGAATGTAGTCACCTCGTTTGATATGGGAAGCACCAGCGGTCTCAAAAGGTGAAATGAGTTGTCCAGGGTCACGGAACCAGTTAATGGGTTGAATTCCTCATTCAGTCCTGATGAATAGCTGTGATGGTGGCACCGGGAGCACTGTCTGGTTCTAATGCAATTGGGCAGTGCAAAAGAAATGGAAGATACCATCCCAGTCCTCAGTACACTTGTATCTTTTTTAGGGAGATCAAATGTACACAAGAAAGCAAATCGTTAACAATTACAAAACCAACCTCACTTCTAGTTCAAAATAATATAGTACTAACTAAATACAAACTTGAGTAATAAGGCTTCAAGCTCAGGCAACCAACCTAGACTGCATTTGCCTTAGAGCCCTAGGAAAGACGACATTTTAATACATCAGAAATCCATGTAGTATTACTGTATTTCTTCAGACTACAAATGCATGATGCCAGTAAATGCATGATTGCTGTGGCACTGGTAAGTGTCAGAAGGGTTCTGAAATTTTTCCACTTTGAAATTTTGGCAAATTAAATTTGTTTTAAGTGCTTGGCTTTCAGTGTCTCTATTATGAATTCACTACAGATCTCTTTTGATAGAATGTTAGGTTACATTTCCAGGCATATAAGGACTAATTTTTAGGAACTTTCAGTTTCTTCTTCATCCCTGCATCTTTACATCTACTAATGGGAAAGGCATAACTTTATCTAGAGTATTCACTGTATCATGCAAGTTCTTGTTTGTGTATGAAGAATAGAAAATTTGGCCGGGCGCGGTGGCTCAAGCCTGTAATCCCAGCACTTTGGGAGGCCGAGGCGGGCGGATCACAAGGTCAGGAGATCGAGACCACAGTGAAACCCCGTCTCTACTAAAAATACAAAAAATTAGCCGGGCGCGGTGGCGGGCGCCTGTAGTCCTAGCTACTCAGGAGGCTGAGGCAGGAGAATGGCGTGAACCCAGGAGGCAGAGCTTGCAGTGAGCCGAGATCGCACCACTGCACTCCAGCCTGGGCAACAGCGTGAGACTCCGTCTCAAAAAAAAAAAAAAAAAAAAATAGAAAATTTTTCTAATTATTTTTTCTAGGTAGCCTACTTGTTATAACGAAGTGACATAAGCATAGAGTTAAATTGTGGTTCTAAAACATGTGAATTGATGAATTAATCAAGAAGTGGATAAGTTAAATAATGATATAATTTTACATAAATATTTAACTTTTGATTAATTTGTAGCATATAACATAATTTTACTTAATTTCAAGTTTATATTCAAGGCTAGTTGTTACTCTTACAGGTATACTCCATTTAGTTTTTGTGTAAAGTCTTTGAATGGTTTATAATATGAATTGGGTGAAAGTAATAGCATATTATAAAAACAATCCCTTTCAAACTCTAGGAGCAATTAAAGCTGCGTTCGTTAACCAATTTGTTTATCTGAATAAAAGTCTTTCCGAATGAAGAATTTTATTTTGCAACACTCTTGCAAAATTCCTCCTTGGTTTTGGCTAGACTGCAGGCAGGCAGCATTCTGTTGCCCTTGTCAAATTGTCAAATGTCTTTTGATTCACAGCAATGGAAGGAAACGACTTTACCACCTTCTTCCTCTGGAAAGAAAGGAAGGATGTTGAAGCTAGAAGCAGCAATGTATTGGGCTGATACACTGATTGAACCAAAAGCCTTGTTTGAAGTGTGATATTTTGGCAGGCAGAGAGTTGTAGGGGGTGTTACATAATGGGTCCTGCAAGTGGCCACAAACTTATTTAAGTAAGCACTTACTGGAATTAATATTTATTGCCTGGGACATAAAGTGATTGCAAAATGCTCACATGAGTCTGAAATGATAAAGGCTTTCTGTATCCTGGGCCGGAGATTGGAAAAGAGAAGTTTGTCGATGGTATTTATACCCAAGTATTATGCGTAAGGATCAAAAAGCAACTATTATGGTTAAAAGTAATTTAGCTAAGACTTTTTTTGTTTGTTTTTTTGCAGCGAGCAGTTGAAGTGAAAACAAGATCACGGAAAATGAGATATTTTGATAAATTCAAGAATCCATGTTTGATAGAGTCTTCACTGAAAGAGTCAAAATTGACAACATGCTTATTGCTTTGGCTTTCGATGTCTGTTGGGAACATGGTTCTTGAACATCCACACTTCAAAGTAGATCTTACTTTTTGGAAGAGTAGAAAGCTCATTACATTAGTTAATTTGAGAAGTAAGACAAGGGCTCAGAAAGGTACTAGTTATTAGGACCTTATACACTAGCCTGCCTGGCATTCTTACCACGACAGTGAATTGTCATGGTAAGAGTTGTGGTTTTAAACCTCTTTTCCCCAGACATTGCATGGAGTAATATGTGTATCCACATACATATTAAAGTAGGGGGTAGATACTGTATTGACTGGGGACTTGTGGACATGAGACACAAAATAGGTGATGTTTGATGAAACTTGAAATGAGCCAAGAAAGGACAAATCTGGATAACACACTGTAGCTTTGGTGATGAGAAAGGAGAAAGGAAAGATAATGAAGATGGATATCATATTGTTTTGCCTTGAATTTGCAGAAAGAGATATTTGGATTATGATGTTACCTTAAAAAGCCATGTTGATACTACTCAGTGAAAGTTAAGAAGCCAAGAAAACTATGTGTGTGTACATATATGTATATATATGTACATACTGTATTTCTTTTTTAAAAAAATTCTTACCTACTTCTCTACTATAACAAAATTAATTTCATTCCTTTTTGTTGCATTTAAACTTTATCTTGGTAATATTTATATTACAAATTTGCCTATATATTTGGTATTTTATTGTTACTATATAGATGTATTTGTAAGCATAAATGTGTGGTATTCGAATGTTTAACTGGTAATATTCATATTATAAATTTGCCTATGTATTTGGTATGATATTGTTACTATATTATATATTATATTATAATAGATATATTTGTAAGCATAAATGCGTGGTATTCAAATGTTTAACAACTCTCCATTTTTTCTCAAGTAACCCTCTGACAAAAGGCTGTATTTGTATAAAACTGACAGACTTTTATGGTGGATCATTTTTCTTACATTAATTACATAGGTAGTATTATTTTAGTTGGAGGTCAAATAACATACTATCAATGACAATTTAGAGATAAATTGCTTTGAAATCCTGATATGGAAGAGCTATAGAAATAACACAGGCGACCTCACGTTTTTAAGAGCCTCTGTGCACCATATGGCTAGTCCCAAATGGAGACCAAGAAAGCAAGGTCTTTTAAATCTCTACATACATCTTGCTTTCCTGGTTTAACACTAATCATTGATTGTATTCTGCATATTGGAAGGGAGCAGATGAAGGATACTAAGAATTCACTTTGAAAACATGTACTCAATGTTTCATATCCAAAAGCTCCCAGGGATTAAACAATCAGAAAACCCTACATCATTTGCATTTTAATAGATAAAAATAAAAGTTGAAACATTTCTTTACACTTAAACTACCATGAACAAGCTTGTGTAGCTATTAGGAGTGAAGTTAGGGAGAGGAGGAAGAAGGGGACTCTGAAATTTAAGGAAAATTCATTTCTTCTACAGAATTGAAGCTAGGCTGATTAAGTCAAGGTGCCTGACTCCGCTAGAGACACATTTTCCTAATGAAAAATACTGTAACTTCAGACCTTTCACATTTTCCATGAATAGATGTCATTACTCATTATCACATTTATCATTACTTGTAAAACAATGAGGCGGCAGCAGGGGGAAAAGGACTAAAATAGAATTGAAAAAAAATTGATACTAGCTAAGGTAATTTCAATGAAGCTTCTTTTTCCAGAAGCAAAGGCGACCTCCATGATTACCCCATCATACCTTTGGGAAACTGACATAAGGTAGTGGACAACTATGATGGAAAGAATAGTGGCTACGGTTTCTCTCCAACCTCCTCTAATTCTGCATTAGAAATGAAAAAAGCTCGACTGGTAAAATTCTGAAACAGATAATGAGTTGTTTAAGTGATAATTACTGAATCTCATTTTTAGAAGCCCATTAACAGGTATCTCTTTAGTCATGAGAAAATTATTCATAAATATTAAATTGTGTGATCACATGTGCAAGTTTCTTTCAAATTATAGTATCTGACTAATTTCACAGTAACTGTTTGCCATTAATTGGCTTTAAGATTTAATCAAGTAAAGACATCATTGATTAATTCCAATTTGTAAAGCCAAAAAAAAAAAAAAAAGTGTAACATTATTATCTTTAGTCAAACTTCTTCAAATGTTCATGCAAGGTAGAAATTGAAAACAGGTACTCCTGTGCTTACAGTTTCTTCAGTTCAAAGAACGGAATTCATCAATGGGAAGCTGCAGTGGATCGAAGAGTAAAATCTTGCTGCCCAATTAGAGAATAAAAAGAGTTTGACCAGACTTGTAACAATGACATAATGGCCATTTTGGTGAGTTCTTAATGAGTTTAGTAGGTAGTGAAATGGGAAAGTTCCCTTGTCCCCCTTGCAGCGTGTGCGATGGGGGTGTGGCTTGCTTCTTCAGTGCCCGGCTGCTCAGACTTCCAGGGGAGCATACAGACGGGCAGGCTGTGGGGCTCCGACCGCACGGCAGTGTCCAGGGGTGGATGTTGACAGCTCCTGAAGCCCCGGTGGGAGTGTGTTACAGGGTGCTCTCTTAGTTTGCCCTCTCTAGGCAGCTTGTGTTAACCAGCTCAGTTGGACCCTCTACTTTGTCGCAAGGACAGAGGTCCTTCTGTATCTCGGGGTTCTTGCCTTGGGGTACCAGAAGAATCAATCACACGTGGTCTTGGAGAATGAGTGCAAAGTTTTATTGAGTGGAGGTAGCTCTCTGCTGCTCTTCCACCAGCGTGCTCTCCACAACCAGCCGCTTGTGTGTTCTTCCACTGATGTGTCCTCTCAATGTCCAGACACTTCTGTCTCTGCTTTGCTAGGGTCTCGGGTTTTTATAGTCCTCGGACGGGAGGTGGTGGACCAGGGTGGTCTTGGGAAATGCAACATTTGGGCATGAAGTCAGGAGTACCTGTTCTTACCTAGGTCCACGGGGATAAAGCCCTAGCCAGGGACCATGCCTTCCTCTACCCAGCACTTCCCTTCCCCCATCACTATCTTTTAAAGGGACCACACTCTTCCTTTCCCAGCACTCCCATATCAGTAAGAAGAGAGAAGGAAACTCTAGATCACCATCAAGTTCAAGTAGTTTCACATTTTCAATGAATATATGTTCACTGTGTTCTTCAGGGACCAAGATGTAGGGAAATGATTAAAAGGCCCTGAGATATACAATACTGAATGGTAGGGGGGAGGAGGCCTTCTAGGTTGGAAAGTCCCATAGCTGACTAGCTGCTAAATGTTCTATCAGCTATTGATAAGACCGCGTTCAGAACATATGGAAATTATAGGATATAATTTTTGTATGTTACTTGTCACCAGCTGCTCAATATTATGGATTATACCTGAGACATTACAGAAGTTGAGAATGAATTGCGCCCATAAACAGAAAACATATTAATCTATAGAATGCACTCGTTTGCCATGTAGAGACATGAATACCTCTAACTCAAGGAGTTGATATGTATAAAATAGGCAACTAGGGGTAAGCAAATATTGTAGAAATGGTGTTTCTGATTGGCACTGGCAGATTTATTATTCAAAATTATCCTGTTGGCAAATAAGGACTTTTTTTTCCATGTCACAAAATCTGATTTCAAAAACTTGCTCCTTTTTGACTTTCTCTATAAGTTTTTAAGTCTGCATTCTTCTCTCATTTTTATTTCCAGGTTCTATTGTAATTTATCTGTTGCTAAACAGTTTTCAATAAAATATATAATAAATAAGAATTTTGGTTTTTATTTTTCAATTATTCAGTTATTCATAAAGCTGACGGGAGATAGGAAATTAAAGTTTCCAGCAAGCATTCTTATAAGACTGTGGTTGTGTCTGTAGTCTTATATTTTTTGATGACTGTGAACATTAATTAAGCTATAACTATGCAGGTTGGAAGGTCTGTTATGGTCTGAATATCCACAAATTTATGTATTGAAATCCTAACTCCCAATATGATGACATTCAGATATTGGATCTTCGGGAGGCAATCATATCATGAATTCAGAGCCCTCATAAATGAGATGAGGTCCCTTAAAAGAAGACGCTCAAGGGAGTTTGTTTGCCACTTCTGCCACATGAGGACTCATGTAGAAGGTGCCCTCAATGAACTAGAAAGCAGGGCCATCACCAGACTCTGAATCTCCCAGTGCCTTTGTCTTAGAATTTTTAGTTTCTGAAACTGTGAGCAATAAATTTCTGTTGTTTAAAAACTACTCCAGAGAAGATACAAACAAATAGAAAAATGTCCTGTGCTCATGGATAGGAAGAATCAGTACCATTTAAATGGCTATACTGCAGGCATTCAGGGTGGCACTGACATGCCAGCCCCCTGCCCCTTCAGCCCCCTCTGGACTTTGGGCACTGACAAGCATGGAAGGGAGGTCGAGGTGGGGATAAGGGTGGCTTGGCACAGGCCTGCAGGGGACCCTCAGCACAAGCAGCCTGGATGCCATGGGCACTGTGGATGGCAGCTTAATGGCAGCAGGAGGCAGACAGGCTCCTGGCTGGAAAGGGGCAGGTCCCCAGTGAAACACCAGCTTCAGGCCAGGGATGACCTGAGTGGCCTGTGGGTCGGGCTGTCAGTTTCATGGACCAGAGTGAGAACTAATGGGGCTTTTTCAGGGCTTGCCTATAATCACCCATGGACCAATCAGCACGCACTTCCTCCCCTCTGAAGCCCATAAAAATCCCAGACTCAGCCAGACTCAGGCAGATGACAGGACAAACATGCCTGTGGAGAGAAGCTATCCACTGTAGGTCTCCTCTCTACTGAGGGCTCAGTAGAAGACAGGATGGCCTGCCTACATAAAGGAGGTACCCACTCCAGGGTCTCCTGTCTGCTGAGAGCTGCAGATTCATCAGGACGACCTGCCTGAGGAGAGAAGCTACCAACTACAAGTCTCTTCTGAACTGTTCTGTTGCTCAATAAAGTGCCTCTCTGCCTTGCTCACTTGTCCACATACATCATTTTTCCTGGATGTGGGACAAGAAGTCGAAACCTGCCAAATGGTGGGGCTGAAAGAGCTGTAACAAACGGTGCTGAAACATGACCCTTGCTCGCCTTGTTGCAGGTGACAAGAAGGAGAGAAGCGAGAAGGAGAGAAGAACTGTGGCTCCTAGGGGAGCCCAGACTTAGAAGCTCCCCAAGCCAGGGCAGTGACACCCTCTTTGGGGCTCTGTAGTTCCTGGTGTCTCCAAGCTTCCAGGAACCACTGTGTTTCCTGGTGCCAGCCGTGGAAGCTGTTTGCCGTACACCTGGTCCAGCCATAGCCTTGCAGTGAGCAGCCACTCGTGCCAGTACCTGGAGCTGCCTGCCCTGCCACAGCCAGAATGTCTGGCTATGCACAGTGACCAGACCCCACACTCTCTCACCCACCCCTCACCACTCCATGCCTGACTCACCCTTGGCAGGCAGAGGATCCAAGTGTAGCCTGCCAGGCCAAGTGGGTAGAAGAAGCCCAGAGGGCCTGAGCAAAACTCAGGCAAAGGTGCCACTGGCCACAGAGGTTACTGACTGGAAATGTGACACCCCAAAGATCCAGTGACAGTGTGGTGATGCGTACTTGCATTTTCTGAAACCCATATTTTGCACCTCCAAACTAGAGTCTGAAAGCTGAATATTTTATGCTGTGGACAATTTTCTGTAGCTTAAGGAAATATCAGCTACTTGGGAGGTGGGGAGGAAGCCATGCACACAGGAGAGCTGAGATGAAGTGGCATGAAATCTTTATTAGAACTCTGAGCTCTTCTGTCTCCTCTGCCCTATTCCAGGGTTCACTCCACCTTGTGGCAGACACTCTGGGGAAGGATTCTTTGTCCGTGTAACCCTGGAGCCTCTATTCCTATCAGAGATGTCTTGTAGTTTATTTTCCCTAAGTTCACCCACTTCGCCCCTGGAGCACTTTCCACTCATATTCAATCAAAATAAAAACATGCCAACATTTATATGGCATCAGGGAGGATTGACTGGCTCTTTTCCAGGATGAGGGCATGGTTGGGAGTGTCTTCCTTTTCTTCTGGAAACATTTGTTGCTTTCTTTGGACTGGCTTATTAAATTACAGTATGTTATTCTCTTGTTTGGGTTTGGTGGTTGCTGTTGAACATTTGCTGATTCGTTTTATTGCTCTGGTGTTCTTTTTTGTTCGTTTTGTGAAATTTTACGGGAGAGAAATTAAATTTTTGAACTCACGATCTTAACATGGAAGCTTGTAAACAATATTTTGCTGGCTCCCTTTATTCATCACTTAGAAAAGAAACTCAATCTACCAAAATTATACTTCAGATATAGGATTAATTATTTTGATGAAGTGAAATTTATTATACATATGGTGAGACCTAACTTGTGTTTTTAATATCCTTAAAGTGCCTCGATTGTGTGGTGATAGGAGCAATAAACATCAAATATAAATAAGTACTTTCACCTGGCAAGTAATTTATAAACATTTTGCATGTACTATGACCATACTTATTTATGTACAGAAAATGCATAGTCAGACTATATCCACAAATAAAAATGCTGACCATATAAAGTGGTAATTCATAGGTATTACATGTCTCTTCTCTCTTGGTTTATTTTCCCCTGCATCTTTTCCCATAATTATTTCCTTAACTCATGGCTGTCAGTTCTTTTTCTTTTTTTTTTTTTTGAGACAGAGTCTTACTCTGTCACCCAGGCTGGAGTGCAATGGCACGATCTCAGCCCACTGCAACTTCCACCTCCCGGGTTCAAGCAATTCTCCTGCCTCAGCCTCCCGAGTAGCTGGGATTACAGGCACCTGCCACCATACCCAGCTAATTTTAGTATTTTTTATTAGGGACGGGGTTTCACCATGTTGGTTAGGCTGGTCTTGAACTCCAGCTGTCAGTTCTACTTTAAGGCAAAAGGCAAGGAAATGCAGTTTTTGAGTTTATGCCAGAAAGCTTTTTCTGCCTTGAAGAAAAATAATATTTCTAGCTCTACATTCAAGTTTTTAATAATCTGATGTTCCAAGTTAGCAACTGTTGTCTATTCTTGTTAAACTTTGTGTAAGCATATGTGAAATAAAGAAACTAAGTAAAGAAGCTATAGTCACAATATTATATGAAAAATAAATGCTCAAGAGAATTAATTCAGATGCCAACACTGTGTATAACCCATATTTAATTCTCTTCAGAGTTGCCACATAATCTGCTTATAGTTGATACATCCTTGAAATGTATAGATATTTCAACAAAAATTCAGTAGGACTCAAGAGAGAATATTTGATGGGATCATGAAACAGAGCTATAGCATACACACAAATGTACATAACACACACACACACACACACACACACAGAGTAAGTTAGATGCCACAGTGGCCTAAAACGTTCACCAACTACTTTAAAACAAGGAATTCAGGTGACTGTATGATATGGTTTGGCTGTGTCCCCACCCAAATCTCATCTTGAATTGTAGTTTCCATAATACCCAATGTGTCGTGGGAAGGACCCAGTGAAAGGTAATTGAATCATGGTTGAAGTTACCCCACGCTGCTGTTCTTGTGGCAGTGAGTTCCCAGAAGAGCTGATGGTTTCGTAGGTTTTATAAGGGGCTTTTTCCTCTTTTGCTTGGCACTTCTCCTTCCTGCTGCCATGTGAATAAGTATGTGTTTGCTCCCCCTTCTGCCATGATTGTAAGTTTCCTGAGGCCTCTCCAGCCATCCTGAACTGTGAGTCAATTAAGCCTCTTTCCTTTATAAATTATCCAGTCTTAAGTATGTCTTAGTTAGCAACATGAGAACAGACTAACACACTGTAATGCAGCAATGGCTTGTAACTCTGTAAGTGAGTGTCATCCCGCCCTGATTCCTGTCTCTAGCACAAAACAATTTCTATATATTCTAATATCTCATCAGTTCTATAAAGGAATAACTAATAAAAAATCTTTAATTTATTTTTCTTGTTCCAAGAAGCAAAAGTGCTAAAGGTAAGTCTAATTTATTTCATTAAAATTTATAACCACACCAACATACTTTAAACTGACAGTATGTGTAGACTACAAAAAAGATCATAATTTTATTCTATCCTCTGTTTGTTCATGTCTAGAATTATTAATAAGAAAAATCAGGAAGCCTAATAACTTTAGACACTATAATTCAGCTTATTAGAAATTTCTAATGAAATATCAATGAAGAGTCAATAGGTAATTCCAGATGCATATTATGTTGAGATGCATTTTCTACTATTTATGGGTCTAGGAGTCACTTGGATTAAGGTTATTCTTAAATTCCCAAGACAGCTCCTTCTCATTTCATTCTCTTGGAACAGCCTGAGTATACAACTAATATTCTCTAAGTGAAGCTATACAAAAAAAAATGCAATTTGATAAAGATTTGTACTTTTTTCATCTTACTGTTAGAGTATTGCTACGCTGGTTTAGAATATGTTAGTTCCAGTGCCCAAGCCCCACCAGATCTGCAAACATTCATTTATCGAGGCACGTTTTTGTGTGACTCTTCTATATGTTAGCCGTGGCTGAAATATCCTTTGACATGATAAGCTATGTCATCTATAGCCACTACCCACATAACCTCCCTGAAATCTTTCTCTATGGTCTAGTGACTCACTCAGTGTTTACCAAAATAGAGCGGTAGGAAATAGTATAACTTGGGCACTATACATTTTCACTAGAGAATGTATATGAATGCTCTATAACCTCTGCCTCGTAAGGCTGCAGAAAGGCCCATCAACCCACTCCACTCTGCCCCCACTA